AACTGAATTGTTGATGAGATACTGTATAGGGTGGAGAGTGCAGCAAGGATTATAGAAATGTCATTACCATGCACACTTGCTCACTGTATGTCCTGACAGAGACAGGCAGCAGGTTCCATTCATGCATAGGCATAATTGGACATCGCAGACTTTGAACAAAGAAGATAGCAGCCGGTTTGTATTTTTAATTCACACATACGGTTCCTTTGGCTAATGTCTACAAAAGTTCATGGTTGCAGTAAAGTGTGAAGGTAGTTTTTGGCTCTGAAACAGCACACAGCCTCCTTCTGGGTAATAAACTGTCTCAGACGCCGTCCTGATGATGTAATGGACACTGTTTACACCAATCATTGGCCAATGGCTGACTCACTCTGACTGGGTGAACCAAAAGTGAGTGACAGAGCTGCATGTGTCTTTTCTGTCACCAGCTCAGGAGGGTCAGACATGCGACCTCGGGGGGGTGATCTACCGCAGTGGGGAGTCCTTCCAGCCCAGCTGTAAGCACCACTGTGTGTGCATGAATGGAGAAATCGGCTGTGTGCCGATGTGTGCCAGTGACATCCGGCTGCCCTCCCTCGACTGCCCATACCCACGCCGCATCCAGATCCCTGGGAAATGCTGTGAGGAGTGGGTATGTGAGCAAATGCCTCAGGACCACCACTACCAGTCAGTGATTGCCGGTCAGTGTCACCTCTGTCATATCCACTGCTCCAAGGCTTGCACATAACAAATATCTGTCAGGCTGGTGTTATACCCGGAAATGTTTTGTCAAATACCTCACTGTCATTGTTGGGATGTAACAAAGTACATTTACTTATTTACAATAGTTAAGTACATTACAATACATGTATCTGTACTACCTGTACAAACTACTACTGATTTGTTTAGGTACTTTTCCATTTGAGTCCACTACATATTTCAGCAAATATCTGTATTTTCTAACAATTCACTGTGTTACATGTTCACATCGTTTTTCATATTTTTAAAAGTCATCATTAAAGAGAGGCTAATTGACCCACTGATCCAATCAGAGAAGGCAGATAACATTAAGACCCCGCCTCCTGCAGCAGCGTCACTCATCCTAAACCTAACCCAAGTAGTTTTACTTTTAATGTGTAAAGTATATTGGGTCACTTGTACTATGTTTGTCTATTTATTTGTAATTTTAGGCCATGAATGTCTCCATGAAATTACATGATTAATTGAAGAGTTGAGGAGAGACATTTTATTCATAATCTCCAATTTCCACCTGCAAATGAGGCCAGATGACAAGATCAGGGGATCACCTCAGTCTTTTGGATTTATTTTCTGGGTGCCCTCTCAACCAAATGACATGCATTCCAGCCAGATGTTGTTAAGGTGTTTCAGACTGGACCAAAATGGAAAGAGCAACTGACATAATTAGCTTTGGAGCCACACTGCCGGCATGGCTAAAAGTTCATATCGATAAAAGATAAATCATGTTAGACAGCAGCACAGAGCACTAAACTACTGTCCATACTGTGCAGAAGTGATGTATGTTTTTGTCCCACACACTAATGGAGGGTCACGTAATATGCATCTCCCTTTAAAACCCGTTAAAAACAGACATTTTTGGCTTCAAGTCCACGCAACATTGTCGTTACACTGCATGAGCTGAAATTACATGTTTTATAGTTCAGGTTTTACAATTAATTTTGTTGTCACAACACTACATAAAGTTTAATTGCTCTCATGCTACTTTTCAACTCTCTCTACCCTGCTTCCTCTGGTTGCAGGAGCCTCTCAGATTCATCCCCTGCCCTCTTCAAATCCTGTCTCAGTCTTCAGACAGGCTTCTCCCTATGAGCCACGACGAGAGAGTCACAAAGATAATTGCATAGTCCAGACTACAGAGTGGAGCGAGTGCTCGGCCACCTGTGGCATGGCCGTCTCATCCCGCATCACCAACGACAACCAGCGCTGCCAGCTGGAGAGGCAGACCAGGATCTGCATTATCCGGCCCTGCAACAGCCAACTTGTGAAAGAAATCAAGGTGAGTTTGTTTACTACTTTCTTTAATATTCCACATCAGTTACTGTGCAAAAGACAGTTTATGCATATTTTCATACATGCTCTGCTTACTTTATGGTGTTAGTAGTTGTCAACCCACAAATCCTTTTGATCACTTATAGTTTAATTATGATGTTATAGTACTTGTTCCTTCAGAAGATAAAATGAATAAACTGATTTTATCAATAAGCTAGCCCACCTTTCAACTGCCAGTTCTTACTTTAAAGAAGTAAATGTTTCCTTCATTAGTTTATAATAGAGGTGAACTGGGTAAACCTGGCTCTGACAAGCCATTATTACTGCTCATCCCTTTTCACATCTCGTGCTGGGCTCAGTTGAGGCTGGTGCTCACTAGGAAAGTCAACCAAAGAAGCTCATTAGTGAATGAGATGAAGCTGGAGAAGGTAAGAAGGAAATGAAAGGCTGGTGGGGCTTAGAAAGCTTTAAAGCTATTAGATATATGAGCTGTTTCTTAATGGTAAATGTGCTATATTCATATATCGCTTTTACAGTGTCATCGACCACTCACGGCACTTGACAGTACAAGTCACAAGTAGATCAACTCTATGATTCTGCAGACAAATCAATCACTGATTATTATCTATGTCCCACAGAAAGGGAAGAAATGTGTCAGGACACCTAAGGCCCAGCACGGGATGCACTTTGAGCTGTCAGGCTGCTCCAGCACCCGGCTGTACAAACCCAAGTTCTGCGGCGTCTGTACAGATAATCGCTGCTGCACACCTCACACCACAATCACAGCCGAGGTGGAGTTCCGCTGTCCAGAGGGAGACGTCTTCATGAAGAAGATGATGTTTATCAAGACCTGCTCCTGCCATCACGACTGTCCTCATGATAACGACATCTTCCTGGCGTCCAATACTCGGAGGATGATTGGGGATTATGATAACAATATGTGACCAGAGAGTTATGCACACACACACACACACACACACACACATTGAAACACTTACATCAGGACTGCAACATGCGAACAATCAATCCCACAATCTGCCTATAAAACCACATGCACAACCGTCAGTGTAATCCAGACTTCAAGCAATGGGTCAGAAATTCATTACCTTTCCTCCAAGAGATTGTTAGTTTGCTTTGAGGAAAGATGATGAGGCCAGTGTTGTTATGAAATGTTTGTCTGGAAAACGTCTGGTAGGAGGCATTACAAAAATAGGAATATAGGCCTAATAATTTCTAATCCATCTGAGATTTCCACATGTTGGACAATATACACATTTGGAAAAACAATGCCCACACAAATATACAGAGTTTTCCCAGCCTCAACAAAAAAAAACAATTTAGCCGTACTTGCTTCTGCTCACAATCAATCCTGCCAGGTTTAGAGATGAAGGAGAGCAAGACGTGTTTATTTTTCTTGATTTAATTAATGTTAAGATACAAACTGACGACATACTGATAAAGAAATGTATGGAAACATATCAGGTCTTACATTTAAAAAAAAAAATCTGTATCAAAAGATACCATAAGGCAGCTGCTACTGACGCACCCTGGTAACAAGGGTTCGGTAACAGTACCCAACAATCCAAGAATCTCTGCGAAAACAGTCTCTGGCATCAGAGGATCTTTACATCTGACTCCAGAAAGCCTCTTCGATCAGAAACAAGGACTGCATCTCCAAACGTACACTAGAAAGTACAACCATCTGTTCTTCTCACGTGATGAAAACTGGCACTGAACGGGGTCGTAAAAAGCAGCACTGAAGAGTGGAACTTTGATCAAAATTATTTTATATGGTTAACATGATCATAAATGAATTTCCATTCTCAAATATAAAGACTAATGCATTTCTTCACTAATCACATACCAGGATACAGTGTAGCCAGGCAAGTTGCGTTAGTGGACATGACTTCAGATATAAATACTCAAATATAAACAAAAGAAATGAGCCAAGCACTTGATTGTCTTTATGTTTAAATAATGGCTCTTAAAGCTTTGTAATTTCAAGTATTGCACAATCTTGAAAATGTAGACATTAACAGCACTGACATTATGACCATTATTTGTTACATTGAGACTCAAAGGTCATTTAGTTCTGATCTTTAGAGAATGAAAACAATATCACTGTGGGATATCAGTCTCTAAAGATGTATAGGAACACCTCAACTGCACTATTGTTTTTAAATCCTGAAATGACATTTATTCTATATCAATAATTAAAGAGTGACCAACTTTTTTTTGGCATTTACAGGAAAACAGTGAATGCTGAAAAATAGTGCAATAGCTACAATAAACCTCATCTCAAGACCAAATGTTAACCAAAGATGACGTTTAAGTTACTATTTTTTATAAAGGTTATGTATTATATATTTTTGCAATTGTGGCCTAGGTTGTGATGTTGAGAAACCCGAGTTGAAAATGAAAATCGAGCATGGCCACTCTGCCAACTGATTGTGTTGGCTGTATTAAAATGTCTTTCTGACTGTACAGGTAACACAATGTGGGTACATCAATGAAAGTTGATCAGAAATTTCCATTAAAAAACCTCCTGAAATGTAAAGAAAATGACAGACTGGGGGAAATTGAGTTCCCTGGCAGCCACTGAAAAGCTCCTGGAGGAACCGTTCATACCAAGACATGCAGGGGAAACAAGTTGAATGAAATATTTGCCTTACATTTATTATGTCCTACTAATTTCTGAAAGTAATGACGATACAGGAGTTGTATTTAAATATGATATCACACATTTAGTCTCTCTTTAGTCTGTTTTGACATTGGTATCAACCTGAGAAGCTGGAGGTCAGCTACTAACTGCTGATTGGTCTCTTCAGTGTCCTTTGTCTTGTTAATTCCAGTAGTTATTTTATTCTGACGCCACAGTCTAAAGACTAGTGGAGGGAAGAAAAATATGTAACATGGCTAAAATCAATTTTACTCCCATTATTTACTGTATATTTAAAAAATAAAAAAAGGACATGGACAAATTTAGCATTTGCTTAATGAAGCTTGTGTATATACTGTAAGACTGTGTACAGTTTTGTACTATAATTTATAACGATTTGTTTAAACACAGTATTGTAGCTCTGTAACTGTATCCTATTGCTTTGTTTTTTCACTGTAGCCACCTGACTAAGATACAAGTGAGTCATTGTCTGTTGCACTTTTGCCTCTTTTTCAATAAACAAAGTATATTTTTATAGATACACTGCATGTTCGCCTCGTTCCTGTTGCTGAAAATAGAAAGCACAGAGTCGGCTGGGCTCTAAAAACAGAAACTGTGGATTTTAGATGAAGCAGCAGTCTCACGTGTTATGTAAGAGTAACTGTGAAGTCAAGCTGCAGGCAGTGATACAGACACCGGGCTCCATTCTGTCTGTTCAGACACACACACTAGGGTCAGGTCTGTGAGGGAACAAGCACACACCCAAATAACAGACACACTGAGAGGTAATAGCTTTTCGGATTTGATGTCTGACCCAATGCTTTGACAGCTCACAAGAATTTCTCCCAATATTCCCCATGCCCAGTGTGACTGCTCCCGTGTAATTCGTCAAAAGCTAGAAAGCAGATTGAACCAAAGCATTTGAAGATGAAGGCCTTAATGCCATTGATATTTAATTGTATTAATGGAAGTCTAAAAATAACTACTTAAAATCCCTTCTGCATAATTAATACATCTTGGCATTATATATCCAAACAATTGTTCAAGAGACTGGGGGGTACAGAACTCTCAAATGTGATTTTTAAAATTCAACTACTGATTAAGCTATCCTGATTAATTACTCTCCTCTTGTGTCTAATATTTTTAATTTCATGTATGTTTTGTTTCTTCCTTTCAAGGGTCGCAGATCAAAGATCACATTTGCAGGACAAATAATGTTGCATAGGCACACGCTTCCAAAGGCAAAAATATGAGGTCCAGCAAATGGTTTGTATTTATATAACGCTTTTCTAGTCTTGATGACCACTCAAAGCACTTTACAAGCACAGAAAATATTTCAACTCCAACATTATTTACATGTCTGTTATGGCGTAGCTCACTTCCAAGAGGAAGTGCCTTGAGTGGGTCATCAAGATTAGAAAAGGCTATTTATCATTTACAGACAGGACTTTGTACAAAGAAATATCTTTTTCATTTCACTGCTCACACAGAACAGACTGCTGTATGTATCATTGGACAACTGACCATGAAAAGAACTGTGGTCCTAAACCAATTTGGCCTAGCAACGATCGTTCACAGACAGAGGGATATGTAGAAACCATTACCCTGCAGGCACAAATACAGTTTTTATATATTTTTCCGTGGGCACAACATATTGCATCTCTGCCTGTTTTGTAATGTCCTGAAATCAAACCTGTTTATTCTGTGTCCGTTGGAAAGGTGCAGCTGAGGCTGTTATTAGCCAATGCAATCTTAGTGCTGATTCAGACAGGAATGTTGAAAACTGCTCAGATCACGTCTTATTGCTAACACAAGTTGTTTTCACGCTTGGTCCCTTTCAGCCCTCCAAACGAACTCAGAGCGATGAGTCAGCATGTTTTGCGCATGTGTGAAAACTCCAAAAGGACTCAGACCCCTCTGAAGTGAAAAGTATTCTTGAAGTGGACCAAAAACTAGGCCAACATAAAAGGGACTCGGTTTATTCACATTGACAGTTCATTTGTAGGAGACCTCAGTTCTTTGTCTGGTCCACTGGTCGATCACCATTCACCTGTTCATGATTCAGTTCTCATTCAATGTCATTGCACATGGCTGCTTTTTCATCAATTAATACAACCATTCAGATAAATCTGAAATCCCTTTTTGTTTGGAGAGTTCACCCCCCTCTCGTCCATAGTGATTTAGTTATGCACTTAGCGCTGTTAAACAAATGATTCTGCTCCTCTGCTCTTTTCTAATCACTCACATGGGTGTGTGTGTGTTTTTCTGTACTCAAATCTTTGTGAAGACCATTTTAAGCATAGACCCTACGCACTGAGGACAGTTTTGGAAAGTGAGGACATTCTGGCCAGAACTCACTTCTTCAAAAGGCTGTTTGACGGTTAAGGGTTAGGGTTAGTATTAGGTTTAGATAAGGGTAAGGGCAAGGGTTTGGTATTTAAGGTAAGGGTAAGGGGCTAGGGAATGCATTATGCCAATGAGTGTCCTCTTTACTAAGATTGAAGTAGTGTGTGTGTGTGTGTGTGTGTGTGTGTGTGTGTGTGTTTATCTCTGTTCCTCTTCACACAAACAATCACATTTATTTATTTATTAATTGATGATGTTGGATTGTGAATCAGGGTCTGAGTTTTTGGAGTGTTCACATATGTGCAAACAATGCTGTCTCATCACTCTCAAGTTTGTTTGGAGGGCGGAAAAGGAGAGTGTGAAAACCCCCTATATGTGGAAACCCCCACTGATGAGCTGAAATTTAGTTATAGCCTTTAGTTGGAAGAGGTGCACACACAGACCTCTCTAAAATTGCTCTTTCCGTGGACAGGGGTTGTGCCAAGTTCAATCAGTGATGGCACAGCGGTGGTGACCTCATTAATTATTTAAATCCCTAGACACAGCGGCAGGATCTAACAGTGACGTTCTGTTTTCCTCAGCATCAGAAAGAAAACGTTTTACTCTCAGACTCCATTTTTGAATCATCTGCAGTATCTCAGCAACGAGCTCCACTAAATCTGTCGGGACAATTTGATTAAAAGCTGAACAACCAGTCTCATGTGTCATGACAAAAGGATTTTTACAATTTCCCTTATGATTATCTCAAATCATGTCGTCATATAATACAGTCTATTCAGGCAATCTGGGACAGTCATTTCATTTCTCTAAATGGGGGAAATATGCATTTAGGGACTTCAAAAAGTATTAATGATTTTACTGCAAAAGAGAAGTATATTTGTTCCAAACAATAATTGCTATATATATACCTCAGGTTGTTGTGTACCCATGGAAATTAAAAAGTTATCTAATTATTATGGTTTCAGAACAATGACCAATGATTAAAAAAGATCCTTTGGCACAATCTAACCCAAGGTGGAGGTAAAATGTTGATGGGGTAAATTGGGCCCTCTATGGATAAATAATGAGTAAATAGTGCCACCATTAGAAACTGATATAAAAAATGAGACAAAATCCATGCCATTAGTCAACAAGATATTCATCACATTAACATTGTAACACGTGTAACAGTGATCAAACATCAACATGAACTTGTAACAGGGACACAGAAAGAGTTTGTGGACATGCATGTATGCATGTGTATGTAAGGCTATGTCTATGTACGTGTGTGTATGAATGCAGTGAACAATGACTGACCACTGGCTCAATTTACCTCCACATCACTGGTCAGTTTTACACCACAACCACCATTTTGACCAAACTGTTTCACACAGTAGCTCAGATCAACAGTTAAGTTTATACCTTGTTTTGTAGCTTACAATGACTTAAAATAACATGTAATAATGCGCGAAGCATTCCTATTATAATTAAGATACTACATTGAATAACTGATAATTGATAATCATAATTAAATCATGAGGCTAGTGAAGATTCACATCTCTTGCAGGAATGTTATGTAGGCTATGTTTTATCCCCTTGGGCTAATTTAACCAAAATGAACGCCAATAGACAGAAAGATAACTGAGACACCTTCAGAGCAAACGTGGATCAGAGAACCAAGAACTAAGTTCTCTTTCAAATGAACTGTCAATGTGAATGCAAAAAGAACAGAGTCCCTTTAAGTTGGTCCACTTTAAGAGGACTGAGATTGGTTGATTTAAAGAGAACTGTATGTGAAAATACCCTTATTTAAGGTAAATAGTAAATAAGGAAGTTAACAATGTAGCTTTGTCCTCGCTCAGGGCTTATCTCCTGTAATCCAGTTTTTGGAAGTGTGGTATTCAATTGTAATCGAACCATTAAATCTCTTTGCACTCTGGTGAGCAATGGTTTGACTTCACTTCACTCAGCTGTCTGATGATTCTACCACTGAAATATATGGGGTGTAATGTAAAACTCAGTGTTTGGATGTTGTGTATTTTTTTCCTTTATAACTTCTTAACCTTAAAAGGTTAAACACAGTCCCCCTCGCATCAATTTTATATGGAACGAGTTAGACATTTGCTTCCATCAGAACTGACCTAACGACCTCTTGTTGAGGGAATGAAATCAGTGCAAACTACAATGGCCCGGTGGTAAAAACACACATATCTAACGTCTACAAACTGATTACACTACAAAGTGACACTAAAGTGATAGATGCAGATTTAGTGTTGTGTTTTTTTTTACTGTGGAAATATTATATGTAACTGAGTTATTATTGCCTTTAATAGTAAATGGCTGAGGTGTCATATTTAAAGATGTTGCCATCATTCTGTTGCTATATGCATTAGCTGACATGTATCAGTACCTGTGTCTGAGGGTTTGCTTGCTTTAGTGTTGGGTTCTGGGATTGTGCTTTGTACACAATTATTGCATATTATTTAAAAGGTAACCCTTTCCATGTAAACACTAAAAAAGTAAGCATTGTATGTGAAAAGAAAATGCTGAATTCAATATAAACGCTCCGTTCTGGGGATACCTTAGATTTTCTATGCATGGAAAGTGAATCAAAGTACATTAGTTCACACCCTGTCAAGGAGTGTGTGTGTTTGTCAAAAGAATGAACATAAAAAGGTAAAAAATCAATTTGTCTGTACCTTAAATTATGTTTCCTAAACATTGTTAAATACAAAAATCTATTTTTAGTGATTTTAAGCTATTAGATATATGTCTGCCAAATTAATTTCACAAGAGTTTCATTTAATTTTTAAATGTTACATACAGATGGTATGTACTGATTAAGCAGTCCCACCTAGATTACAAAGAGAAGTTGTTGAGGAAGGGTTTTATTTGCATTTCCATATTGTCACAATGTTTGTGATGAGACGATGATGAAAAGTGATGACGGTGACTCTGTGGTTTTACTGGAAGAGTGTGTGTGTGCATTTCCCTGGTGCTGGAAATAAAAGGTTGCAGTGGCGTCACTGTTCAGACTGGAAATCTGTTCGTTGGAGCTGGTGCAGCAGAGGTTACCATGACTGTGTGTATTAAATAGGATGGACGATGATGTATGCCAGTTCTACTGCAGCACTGCTCCCCTCAGCTGCACTGCTGTACAGACCGGCAGGCAGCCAGATCATCTAAAGAATACTGTGTGTGTCTGACTGATGTT